CCCCCCCATAGGGTACATGCTTTAGCTAGAGAGGGACAGGAAGAGAGAGCAAGCTAGAAGCACTCTCCAGCGGGGATGGTTACACTGCAATCCCTTCTCCTCCATTCTCCTCTCAGGATCCTAAGCACATATGCATACATGCCCAGCATGATTTCAGAACCATGGGGTCTGGGAATCAAGCCATGCAGTAGGCGATGTGGAATCTAGCTGCCTTAACCACATGACCAAGCTGGCCCAGACACAATTTATTAATAAAAACATGCGATAATCTAGGAACAGAAGGAAAGTTCCTCAACATAATAGAGTATCTATAACAAGCTTATAGCTAGGCCAGTGGATCCCACATGGCTGAATTCATGGTTCAAGTGCCAGACTCAATAGCTTGAAGAAAGAAAACATACCGGGCACATGCGTGTGCATGCCCAAAATCCCTAAAGGAGAATGGAGGAGAAGGGACTGCTGCATGGTCATTCTCCAAGGAGGTGATATTCTCTCTCTCTCTCTAGCAATCTCACATGCCTTATAGTAAACTTAAAAAGCTTACAGCTAACAACATAGTCAATGTTCAAAGACTGAAAGCTTTTCCTCACAGATCAGGAACAAGGCAACGATGCCCACATTCACTTCTCCTATTCAACATAGTATTAGAAATTTTAACCAGAGCAGTTAGTCAAGAAAAAAATTTTAAAGGGTCAGCCAGGTGGTGGTTAAGGTGGCTGGCCTTAACCATGGCCGACCTCATTATCTGAGTCAGAGGCTGGAAAAACATATGAGGCGCATTTGCGTGTGTGCCCAAATTCCCAAAAGGAGAATGGAGAAGAGACTACAGTGTGGTCCCTCCCTTGGGGAGTGCTTTCTCACTTTCCCTCTCTTATACTTTCTCTCCAGTAAGCACAAATGCCCCAGTGCAAATTAAAAAGTAAAAATAAATAAATAAATAGCATACAAACTGAAAGGAAGAAACAAAAGTATGTCTTTTTCCAAAATGGCATGATATTCGATGTAGAGAATTCTAAAGACTGCACACAAACTAACAGATTAATAATAAATTCAGCGGGGACCATCAGGTGGTGTGGTGGCTAAGGCGCTGGACATTCCCACATGGCTGAGTCCCAACGGTTTGAGTCCCAAACCTGGCAGCTTGCTTTTTCACTTTCCCTCTCTCTCTTTCTCTCTGTGTGTGTCTCTGGTCAAATTAAAATAAATGAATGAATAAATAAAATTAAATAAAAGATAATTCTTAAAAAAATAAATTCAGCAAAGTTATAGAATACAAAACCAGCATGACAAAAATCACTTGCATTTCTACAAACTATCAACGAACAATCCAAAAAGGAAATTAAGAAAACAATTTCATGGAGCTGGCAGGTGGCGCCATGGATAGGGGCACTGGGCTCCCACATGGCTGACCACAGTTTGAGTCCCAGACCTGGCAGCTTGCTTTCTCACTTTCTCTCACTTGCTCTCTCACTCTGTCCCTCTACTGTCAAATTTTAATTAATTAATTAAAGTTAAATAAAACAATTCTTTAAAAATAATTTTAAAAAGAAAACAATTTCATGTATGACAGCATCCAAAAGAATAAAATATTTCAGAATAAGTTAAATTGAGGAATTGAAAGACTTGTACATAGAAAAACTACTAAATACTGCTGAAAAGAATATAAAACCTACTTAAATCAGTGTAGCAATACCCATGTTCATCGACTGGAACACAGTATTGTTAGGGAAACAATACCATCCAAATGATCTATAAATTCAGTGCAATCCCTATCGAAATCATAACAGTATTTTTTGGGTAGAAATAGAAAAACTCATCCTAAAATTCACACAGAATTTCAAGGACTCCAAATAACAAAAAAAAAATTTTTTTTTTTTTTGAGAGGTTTTCACTACAGGGCGCGTGTGCACGCCAGACAGACAGACAGAAACAGAGAGATAGAAAGCGAGAAATCACCCCCCAGGGGGGATGGCTATGCCGCAATCCCTTCTCCTCCATTCTCCTCTTGGGATCTTGGGCATGCACGCACACACGCCCGGGGTGAGTTTTAAGCCACCGGGTCTGGGATGTGAACCACGGTTGACTACATGGGAGTCCAGCGACATAGCCATTGGTGGTCCCTGTTTTTTTTTTTTTTTTTTAAGAGGTTTTTGCTATAGGGCGCGTGCACTCAACAGACAGAGAGAGAGAAACAGAGACAGAAAGCGAGAAATCATCCCCCAGGGGTGATGGCCATGCCGTAATCCCTTCTCCTCCTTCCTCCTCTCGGGATCTTGGACATGCACGCACATGTGCCTGGCATGAATTTTAAGCCACCGGGTCCTGGATGTGAACCATGGTCGACTACATGGGAGTCCAGCAACATAGCCATTACGCTAACTGCTGGTCCCATTTTTTGGTTTTTACCATAGGACACATGTGCTCTCCAGAGAGAAAGAGAAATAATCCCTTCTTGATTCTCCACCTGGGATTTTGGGCACACATGTACACATGCCAGGCATGATTTTCAGGTCGCTGGGTCCAGGACTTGAATTGCAGTTGGCCAGTGGGAGTCCAGCACCTTAACCACCTTGCCACCTGCTGGCCCCATAACTAAAACAATACTGAAAAAGTTGAGAGACTTACACTTCTCAATTTTAAAACTTATTACAAAGCTAGTCACCAAAACAGTGTGGCTCTGGCATAAAGATAGACATACAGGGCCAGTCCCATAGCATGGCAGTTAAGAACTATGTAGAAAAAGCTAGATCCCACACAGCCAACCACAGTTCAAATCCTGGCCCAGGAGACACATTAGGCATGTGTGTGTATGGAGGAACAAAGGAAAAATAATTACAGTATGGAGCCAGCAGGTGTCATGGTGGTTAAGGCGCTGGATCCCAGGTCAACTGGACAAGTTCATGGTCTGAGTCCTGGACCCAGAGGCTTGAGAAACACATAGTGCATGGGTCCATGAATGCCCAAAATCCTGAGAGGAGAATGGAGGAGAGGGGACTGCAGTATGGTCACCCCCACCCTGGAGAGTAATTTCTCACTTTCCCTTTCTTTCTGTTTCTCTCCTGCAAACGCACATCCCCTATGGCAAAAATCTATA